TCTTTTTCCTCCTTTCTGCTCCGCGATCCTCTCCCCTGATTTAGGGAAATCAACCCCATCTTGTGAGGTTCACGCGTACATTTGACCAGACAGGTCACACACTGTTTCTTTGCTGTCGGGTGCGGTGGGGACAGGGGAAGTTTGGATATTGGGCAACACTCGTCCTCATCTTCTCTCTTTACTATTTGTTTGCTCATGTCAGGGAGAAGGACCAAAAGGATGGAGGGGAGACTTAACCCGAATTAATGATAAAAATAGTTTAGAGGAACTAAGGAAAGGATGCTTGCAACAGAGGATGCGTGAACTTTGAAAGCTCTCTGTGCAGTTGTAGGAAGGTGGAGGGAGACTGGGAGAATTAGGCCAGTGCTGGGAGGGGCTGCAGGGTGGGCACAGACCAGGAAAGCAGGAAGCATGAATTTTAAACAATCAGGAGTACAAAGACTTCAATAAACACAATAGGGAACTCAGAACTCATTAAGTTGGCAATCCATTATACATTTACCTTCCCGCACATCTTTAACCGCCAGCCCGTGTCCTGGTCCATCAGACGCTGTTCCTCCTTGGACAGATCAGCAAACCTGTCTTGTGCGTTTCCAGAGGATGGGGAAGTTCAGAAAAACCCCAGACTGTCAGCAAGCTGACTTCCTTTTTGCTAAGTTTTCTCTCTGTCTGAAAAAGCAAAGGGATGGATGGGTGGGTGTCCTTGATACAGAGTATCTGGAAATTATCTTCAAGTCAGGGTGGCTGAGATGGAATCTCCCTCTGATTTGCTTTCCAGTGGGAGCAGTCCTTTGTACCTGAGACTGAGGGTGGGAGAGTGAAGAGAGTTCATTCCTCCATAAGTCTTTCATCCAAATAGTTCCAGCTTCTCAGACTGGACCCCTACTCGCAGAGCTACCTTGAAAATGGTACCATTTCATGCTAGCGGGAGAGCCTTCATGTGAATTCCCTAGCTCAGTGAGTTCAGCATTTAAAGGGCAGGCGTGTTTCCATCACCTAATTCTCTGAAAGATGCTATGCAGGGGCTTTCAGGGAAAATGGATGCAGGGACACGAGGGGAAACAAGGGAAAATGGCTGTGTGGAAATGGGAGTGGGAGGTGGGAGGTATGCCTGATGGCAGAGACTGTGGACAAGGAATTGGTGATACTGAAAGCTGGATGGCTCTGCTTCCTGGCATCGAAATGTTGGCTTTGAGCACCTTGTGCTCCTTGGACACCTGCATCTTACTGAGGATTCCATCCTTATCTTGTCTTTTCCTTGAGAGTGTATCTCAGAACCTGCCTGTTTTGCTGGCAATGTCAAGTTACCACTCATTCTGAAGTCTTAGGCAGAAATGCTAGTGTCAGGAGCCTAAGTGATAAGAATGCCCCGGCAGTAGGCACTGCTGCCCCTGGGCTATCCCAGGCCTCCTGCTTGAGCAGGAGGCAGAGGTGGCAGCAGCCGCGGCAGCTGTTTGGGCCCCACTTTCACTAGAAATGTAGCGCCAGTGCCTGCCCTGCTGGGATCGGGGATGCCCATGTGTGCACCTTAGGCTGCTGCCCAGCCCCTGCTGTGTTCACTCTGCTCAGAGTATTTGGTGCCTCCTGAAAGAACCCAGCATGTGTGCTGCTCTCTTTTTGCAGGAGGTATTCTTCCTGCCCTCACCTTGTTTATACTCCAGATGGCACCTGGGATGGGGACGGTGATCAGTGTTAATCAGCTAAGTAAGGCATGCCCAAAGGTCTTTGGGTTGTTTCTGAAATGATCCTTTGCTGCTTAATTTTATTAGAGTTAACCACAAAAGCCTTGAGGGAGCTGATAGCTGTGTGAAAGGCAGGAGGCTGTTTCCAGGCAGGACAGGTTGTCCTTTGAGACTCATAACCCTTAGTTCCCAGTTTGGACTGGAAATCCGAGCAGCTCTGTAACTTCTGCCATGTTGACATTATCTGTTCTGTATTCATGGATTTTGCCAGCTCAGCATACTGAGACTCAGCTGCAAAGTGTATACAGTTGAGGAATGGAGTTTTAGGATGGCTTGGGGTTCTCCTGCATTATATACGTCATCTTTTTATTGCAGGGTTGTAGATATCAACAGATACAGAGGGCTTAAAAAAACCTACCGTGGGAGATGTAACGAAAAAGAAAAATAGCTAGAGCAGTGAGCCACCCAAACCCAAAATGAAGCTAGTCAGATTTTCCTAATTTAAAGATAGTATATCTTCCCATCCTTTTCTCTAAGACAGTGGTATCTTCTGTGTGAGGGAAATGAGTGTGATGTATTTATTGTTATGCAGACCCACTTGGAGGTTTCTGGGGGACGTGGTAATAAGGATAGGCGAATTTGTCTGCCTGCGTGCAAAGCAGAGGCAGTGTTTTAGGACAGAAATGATGAGACGTGGAGAAGCAGGTAGGGGAGCCGCGAGAGGGGCAGGCTCACTTCTGCAAGAACACAATTCTGACATTCTCCTTGCCTTTCAGTTGTAGCTGTAACCCATCAGTGATGACAGGCCACCCAGAAAATCCCCTTCCTGGGTTTCAGTGCCCTGACCACCACCAAGTAAAGAATTCCCCTTCTTATGGAAGCGGATGGGACGGCAGACCTAACTCCTGTCTCTTGTTGTCAAGCAAGGCCCTGCCTTGGTCTTTGCCTCCTTTCCTGGGTGACAGCCCCTGAATCTGCCACACAGGAGAACACTTGGCATTTGAAAGCCCCTCTCTTAGAGTCCTTGGTTTGGAAATCGCTTGCCTTTTCTGTTTGCGATCGACAGCCAGATTTTTTAAAATTCTGTGTCCCAGTTGAAGCAAGGACATTGTCACCATGGACCTAGAGTGTCTGTCTAGAGAAAAGTTATGAAAGCAGTCAGAGACCTCCCTGCCCAGCTCTGGCAGCAGCCTGGCCTGTGGGGACTTGGCTGTGAGGTGCAGACAGTTCCTCCTGCTGTTCACTGTCAACCTTCCAGGGGACAACCCCAGCTCGGAAATCCACAATCTCTCAGGGCAGTGAAGAGACCTACCATCAGGCAGAGCACTGGACCTAGAGCAGGTGTGGGCTGAGTATGTCTTGGCATGCCATTTGGTAAGGAATACAGAGTGTGGGAAAACTTGTGACTGGCCTCTGCCCCTTGGTGTCCTGAAATTGCTGACTCATGGAGGGGGACAAGATCTAGGTTTTTATCGCTCTATTACTGACATTTAGCAGGATGCCTGGCACCCAGAAGCCCAGTCGATGTGTACTTAGAGCCTGCCATTATGAGGGATGCTTTCCCTTCTGGATAGACTGGGACAGCCTATTGGATCCGGGAGGCACGACATGGACAACTAAGGGTGTTGGACTCTGTGGCAGTTAAGTACCAAAAAGTTACTGTCTGTACGGGCGAGGCTCACTGGCCCGAGGGAAAGGGGCCAGAGAAGTCGCGCCCGGCTGTGGGCGCGAACAAAATTTATAGGGGAAGAAGGGAAAGGGGTGTGGCGAATCCGGGAGGGCGCAGGGTATTCCTTATTTGGTGGTCTCTTCGGGGATCGTGGGGGACCGTTAGTCCCGCCCCTCGAAAGGCGGGAAGGCTGGGCCGGGTGGAAAGTCCCCAGGTGAGTTCCTGGAACTGGGTGGTCCGGAGAGGTTCGGTCTGATGCAACCTGTGAGTCTGATTGCGTTCCCCTGCCTCGGGCCAGTTGGCCTCACACAGACTAGTTTGCTGGTTTTAAAGCAAGATCAGCCCATCATATAGAATTTTATTTTCTTATTTTCAAGACAATAATTTTTTTAACGTTCATTTCTGTCATTAGTAGTCTTTTTAACTTTTAGGAAATAATCCTAGTAAACCACACCAGAGCCTTTGAATAAGATATTGTCTGCCATTGTAGCTATAGGAGAGGAGTTGGTAGAACCTAGCTTTTCACGGTATTTTTTTGAATGACATCTCTTAAATGAACAACACAACAAGACCCCAGCCAGCCAAAGGACAAAGGGTAAAGTAATAAGGTCTAAACTATAAAGAGAAGAGTGGGAGGTCAGAGGAATTTTCATCAAGATATTTTATACAGTCCCCTGAACACACAGCTGGTGGCTGGCTCCAGGAAAGGGAACTGGGAGGTTAGGGTTTCTGGGTGGAAGGCAGATTCTCTTCACCATCCAATTCCTTTGTGTCTTTTAAATTTTGTATTACATTCATTTATGGTCTTTCAGAAATTAATTAGTTAAAAATGAAACCACAGCTTCCTGATGGGACAGAGGGAATAATTGTTCTGTCACTCATCTCTCAGGCACGTAGCATCCAAACGCTGATGGTGATTGTTTTGACCCATCCTGCTTGGTTTTGCTGATGTAATTTCCAACAAGGCTTATTTCACAAACAAATGCAGATGCAGAATTTTAATGCAGGGTATGCTGTATAGATAAGTAACTTTTGTATTTACAATCAACCACTTGGCTTTTTATAGCCAATAGTCCATAAACATCTCATTTTTATAAAGCCGCAAAGAACTGATTTAATGTAGTACTCTGCTTCTGGATCCCTGAAGCAAGTCCAAAAATTTTCAGGCTGCCAGGCCTTGGCCAGACCATGGTATATTGATTATCGGTCTTGAAATTAGTTCTTTAAAAGAATTTGGAATTTTTCATGCTTAGTTCTAGGATCTAAGCTTTCTTTGATTTGCCTGGGATTGAAAGGCTCCAAGTAACTGAATTTCCTTGGCACTAAATAAAAAGCTATAACTTCAGTTAAGACTCTGACTGGTACGTGATATCTTGCATTAGATCAGGATTAAGTTCTACTTGGAAATACAGAGGAATTGATTAATCGTGTTGGCAATTCACCTTCAGTAGAGTGTAATGGAAGACGGTGGTGAGGCAGAGAAAAATATGTCTATTTCTTACGCCTGTGTTTAATTTTGGCTTCAATAACTCATTTAGTTCAAACTTGATTCTTTTCTTTCTTTCCCTTGTGATGAGCATGTGAGAGCGTGATCCACAAAGCAGTATGCAGATATTAGTTGTGCACTTATTTCTTTGTGTTTGGGAGAGCCTTGCCAACTGAGGATTAGAAGAAGCTGGTTTTTCCCTCATTTACATAACAAGCAATATGGTGTCAGAGACAAAATCAAAGATCTGAGGTCAGAAGAGCCAAATTCTCATCTAGCTTTTCTACAACCTTGGATGGCTTTGAACAAGTCTCAACTGAGCTGAAATTTGTTTTTTAAAATTTCAATCTGCACATTTGGGGACAACCCCTCCTCATGTCACAGGGAGGTCGTAGAGTTCTATGGAGAGGCCGTGTGGGGCAATGCTTTTGTAAACACTGAAGTGTGATCGTGGTCAGTTTTGTTTTGTTTTATTTTATTTTTTTAATTAATTTTCAATTGCAGTATGGTACAAGTTTCAGGTGTCCAACACAGTGTTTCACAATTTCTAAAGGTTGTATTCCATTTATCATCATTATAAAATATTGGCTAAATTCCCTGTGTTGTACAAGATCATGGTCAGTTTTATATATTCCCCTTCGTAAGTGTGACTGGCAGGCCCTATGATTTCTGAGAAGCTTGGCTTTCGTTGGAATGACGAGATAAGCTACTGAAGCTAAGGCCATGTGGTAAGATCAAAGGGCTTCCTGGAGCTCAGCTTCCGTTCCTCCAATTAAGCAAGAAGAGGATTGAACTTGAATCGCTGAGAATTTTAAAGCTCACCATACATTCTAAGAATTTCTCTTGACTTGGCTTCCAAAGCACCCCGTTCTCTTGGTTTTCCTGATAACTCACTGGTTTGCTCTGCTTCCTTTACTAGGTCTTCTCCTCAATCTCTTAATATAGGCGGGCCCCAGGTCTCAGTCTGTGCCTCTTTTCTCCAAAGTAGCTCCCTCGGTGACCTCATTCCATCTCACGGCTTTTTAAATACCAGCTAAATCCTGAAAACTCCCAGACTTTCTCCTGAAATCCAAACTCATATCCCGCTGCCTTCTCTACTTTGATATCTCCAACTCACGTGTCCCCAATCTGAATTGATCCTCTCCTTTTAAAAAAAGAAATCGGGCTTCCGTAGTGGCGCAGTGGTTGAGAGTCCGCCTGCCGATGCAGGGGACACGGGTTCGTGCCCCGGTCCGGGAAGATCCCACATGCCGCAGAGCGGCTGGGCCCGGGAGCCATGGCTGCTGAGCCTGCGCGTCCGGAGCCTGTGCTCCGCAACGGGAGAGGCCACGGCAGTGAGAGGCCCGCGTACCGCAAAAGATTGGGATTGACATATATACACTACTGTGTATATAAATAGATAACAAATGAGAACCAAAAAAAAAAAAAAAAAAAAAAAAAAAAAATCCCACCAAGAACCAGTTCCACCTGAAGCTGTACCCTTCCTTAAGCTCCCACTTCTTTCTCTCCCAAATTATGTTCTAGGTCCAGGCTCTTGCCCCTCCTCACCAAGTGCCCATGGTAGGGTCCCAAGAAGGAGAAATAAGTATCCCAGTGTTAGCACTGAAACACGTTGTCATCCACTTATTTGAAGGCTGAGGCCACAGGTCCACGGCCTCCCAGCCAGGTGTCATGGATTCTCGTTTTCTTGGCAAACAGCTGTGTGAACTTTCGGGTGGTACTTTTCAGAGCCATCCCGGTGGAATCATTTATAAAGTCGGAATAGCCCAGGCTGGCTCCAGGCAAGAGGTGCAACCAAATAATATATTAGCCATACTTTTCCATTCAGCATTTCCATTTTCTACCCAGTCAGCCACAATCCTCAGCCCTCAAGAGTGCTGTTATTTAAAACTGTGAATCATAAAGCTGTATCAAGCCTACCAGCTAGAGGAAATGTTGCTGCCGGATTGTTTCTGGCCACGCACATCTCTTGAGACCCTTAAAACCAGATTCATGATGAAAGGTGCTTTGGAAAGGCAAATTATTGTATTTATTTTCAGGCTATTAAATTATTTATGTATGCTAGCAGTGGAGGAACTTCTCTGCTTTTCGACTAAAATATTGACTGATCTTCGTAGGGTCTTAATAGGGCTGAGTCAGCTCACAGGCCCTTAGAAATAGGTTTCAGTATTAATGGCCTCTAAACTAAGAAACATCACCTAGAAATATTTTCTAGAGCCTAAAAGATTAAGGCGGGAAGAAACAAATGATCGAGGCAGAATCTGGCCTGATTATAAGTAGTATATTTAATCTTTCTGTAGCTTGCTCACTGGAATTTAAAAGTAAAAAAAATATAATATTGAGCATCCGGTCATCGAAGGTGGTGGTTCTCAACCTTGGCTGCACACTGGCGTCACCTGGGTGCCTAAGGAACCCTGCTGCCTAGGTTCCACCCCACAGAGTCTAATTTACTTGGTTTTAGGTGGGGCCCAGGAGTCAGGAATTTTGAAAGCTCCCCCATGTGATTCTAATGTGCAACCAAGGGTTGAGGATTCTCATAACAGGGGCTTGAAAATACTTCGCGGGCTTCTGTCCTAATTTTTTGTTTTCTGGAAGAGACCAGAACCTCCTTGGAATTTTCCATATCTTTTACTTATCTGTGGGAGATATGAAAATGAAAACCAGTTCCCCTTCGCCTTTAAACATTATACTTTTGTAGAATCTGGAGCACTCGGCTACATGTACATAGCCAGTTCCCAGGGAATGGAGCAGATACATTTCACACCCTGTTCAGTGTAGGAGATTCTTATTAGCGTCTCCCTTAAAGTGTGTAAGCCCCGAGACTAGCTCAACATCGCGTGGCCCGTAAGTTGCAGGACTGACATTTGAACCCGGATCCCAGATCATCTTCCATTCTTTTCTCATCTGCTGGCTACAAGGGAGGGCCGTCTTTGGATGGCTACCTGCCAAATACCCACAGTATAATTCTACATGAACGAGAAAAATAATGTTAAAGGGAGATTTGGGGGAGTGGGTTAACTGAGCAGCTAGGCGTACATGAAGATAACTGCTGTGCGTGAATGACTCAGTGGAGGGTGAAAGGCTGAAGGTTAAGTGGAGAGGGGGAAAGAATGGAGTAGAGATCCTGGGACGGGGGATCCAGAGCACAGGTGGAAGCGTTAGTCTTGAACAGGTGGAAGGACACATCTTTGATTGGGAGGGAGGAAGGAGCAGTGTGGATACAGGTACATTTGGAGGTCTGGCAGGAAGTTAAGGTGAGCTTTTTTCCCGATGGCTTCCATTTTCTTAGTGATGTATTAAGAAATAAGTCATCTATGGGAACTTCATGAGGCAGGGTAGGTGGTTTGAGGGGCTCATGTTTGAAAAAGCCCTTGTGGAGAGTGGGAAAGAGATACCAGGGAGATAATAGCACTCAGTGTCAAGAATTCATGAAGGATGGGAATCATGTGAATTTGTCACTGCAAAGCCTATGTTTCTTGTTCGTTGCCATTTTTTTTCAGTGCTCAGCATTGTGCCTGAGACATGGCAGGTTTCGAATAAATGGTTGACTTATCGAAGAATAAATATAGTAACACTAAGGAAGTGAGCGCTGGAAAAATGGAAGGGTATGGGCACAGAGTGGGATATTTTTTTTTTTTTTTTTTTTTGGCTGAGCCATGCGGCTTGCAGGATCGTAGTTCCCCAACCAGGGATTGAACCGGGCCCTGGCAGTGAAGGTGCCAAGTCCTAACCACTGGACTGCCAGGGAATTCCCCACAGAATGGGATTTTAATTTACTATTCTGGAGGTAGAGTGTTAGGTGCTGACAAATTTGGGGTTGTGGCCCCGGGAGTAGATGGCAGCAGTGGAATGGAGGTGAAGACCATTGCCATTGGGGAATACCTCAGGACTGTGATGCTAAAGACAAGAAGTCACCATGGATGATAGAACATGGAGTAGAGAATAAAACTATCAACCACCTGGCAATCTTTAAAAACATAAATGGATTGGTACTTTAGTAGGAAGTAGAGTGTGGTATGTGCTATAGCCAGATGGTCTGAGCATCAGGGGAGAAGGGATAGCTGTTTAAGACTGGAAGGACAATGACCTGGAAGTGGCATTGGGTCATAAGAAAAACTCTAGCATGCTTCGTGGCCATGGGTGTGTTGGGCATAGGAGAAAAGGCCACAGAAGATACGGTATCCTCAGAGGAGAGCTGGGTTCTGCAGAGGGCCAGGAGTTGAAAGGGACATGCCAAGGAGAGGAGCTTATTCCTTAACGAAGGAACCGAGTTTCAATGGGAAGACTTTGGAGGGAGTTTGCAGTGTGTTTCAGTTATCTCTGCCATATTAATGCTGCTTAACAAGCAACCACAAAACCTCAGGGGGCATACAACAGTAAGTATTTATTGCACATGTTTCTAGACTCAGATGGGAATCACCTCGGTGGCTCTAATGATCTTGGTTGGGTTTATGTCTGGGGGTTAGCTAGCTGTCAGCTGATCTAGGCTGCGGTAACTTGGCTCTGTTCCGTGTATCTCTCATCTTCTTCCTGGGACCAGTAGATTAGCCTGGGCATAGCCTTATCATAGTGATAACAGTGGCTAAGAACGCAAGCAAGCACAGTTGCTCAGGTGCCTTCCAAGTCTCCGCTTGGGTCATATTTGCTAACATCCTATTGGTCCAAGCAAGTCATATAGCTAAGCTCAGAATAAGTCATAAAAGCGTATGGCAAGGGGTATGGATGTAAGGAGGGATTAAAAATTGGAGCCAGTTTTGTAATCTGCCACACTTTGGGAAAATGGATAAGGAGAGGGATTGAAGAGGCTGTGACTGGAAGGGTGTACATCTAGGGGTGAGCAAGGATGACTTGTAGGCAGAGCACGTATGGTATATGGCTGGTAGAAGCATTAGTTCCAGCAGACCTCTCTGATGGGTTGGGGGTGGGCAATGAGGTAATACCGTTGAAGACATCTTGTGAATGATGAACTTACGACGTGGGGATAGGGACACGTAGGTCAGCTGACAGGCAGCTAACCCCTTGCATGTGAGTAAACCCAGCCAAGATCATCAGAGCCTTATCGAGGAATGTCAGGGCCAGATAATCATGTGAAGCCTGTACAGACCTCTCAAACCCCTACCAGTGCTTCAGTGACTCCAACTGCAGGTCTCCTGGGGGAAAAAAGTATTCTTCCTTTGTCATTAGGAGACTATCAAACTGAGTAGCTTTTGCCCCTGGTAGATGGCATGGATGACTCTCCAATATCAGATAGCACAGAGCAATACAGACCCTGAATCAGGAATAATGCATGGCTCCTCT